GCTTCGTCATCGTTTGGTCGGTTTTTATCAAGGGATTGTGCGACAGCATTCACAGGTTTCGACTTCGGTGGATTCGTACGACATACACGTGCAAAATGTCCACGTTTTCCGCATGCTCTACAATCTTTATCCTTCGCTGGACAAACTTGTTTATGGGGAAAATGTCCACCGCAATTTCTACAGGTTTGATGTGGCTCTTTACTTTGTTTAGAAGTATGAATATTTTTTTTGCTAAAATGAGTGGGTGGTTTATCCTCACGCGATGAATAATTTCGTCTCATTTGATAGCTTCTGTTTCTGCCACGCACCGAATTTATTGCTTGATCTCTTCCTTCGAGATGTCTTGCTTGACTTTCGCTGATTTCTAACGATCTTCCAACTTTTAATAACTTATCCAAACTGTATTCATCCTGAAGTGCTCTCCTACGCAGCGTGTTCGAAGTGCAGCTAAGAATAATGTGTTCTTTCATCTCTTTGTCTATGTCCGTAAAATCGCAAGTCTTAGCGAGTTGACGAAGTCTAACGTGATAACTATCGAGTGATTCTCCTTGATTTTGTCTTGCTTGTCTAAAATTATAGACTTCGTACGCGATATTCGTTTGTGGAGCGAAGTATTCGGTGAGTTTTCCTACGGCAGCTTCATAGTCTGCGTCGGCTTCGCCTTCGGGGTATTAGAGCGTGTCAAAAATTTCGTCGACTTCTGGGCCAGCAAAGTCTAGCATGAGTGCTTTTTTTTGTTTCTTATCTGTAATGTTCATCGCTGTTAACAGTCGTTCAAAACGAGTTACCCATTTCTTCCATCTTGGTCCGGTGTTGCCGTCCAAATGAACTTCAAAAGTAGGGAAATTCGGCAGCGAAAGAGCCATTTACTTAATGTATTCTAGCCTGAAGCTAAATACCAATTAAAGTTATCGTTTGGCTTCGTAACGTTTGCTGTTTGCTTCTTGAACATCAACAGTATGTATTCTTTATATATATATATATATATATATATATATATATCTTATAGTTTACTAGATTTACAATCCTCGTCGCCAGATATAGTGACCCTTCGCCTGCTGTAGAAGAACTAACTTTATTACTAAACTAACGATTATTTACATACAACTATATTGGATACTAATTAGAATATTAATAAGGTAACATGGAATATTAATGAGGACATTACAATATGAAACCTAGTATGATAGATATTAGCGTGTTTATAAACGACTGCCACATGGTGGGACATATTTTCTTTGAACAAAGTTCGTAGATGGACCGACAGTCTTAGAAGCGTTAACTACAGTATAACTGAGTCTATAGTATATCAACCAAAACAAAGCTTTAATTAAAAGCGAAACCGCAGTCAAAACGGTAAAAATGACACCAAAATGCGAATGATTGGATGAACAAATGCCATATTTAAATATGGGACTATATATTCAAATATGGTCCGGTTGTTAGAATTGGCATTGAGTTCGCTGACGCTGTTTAACAATATAAATATCGAGTTCTCATCGACGTTGTCTTGTAGTTTCAGTAAGATTCGAGAATCAAATTAGGAGTAAAAACGGAATACTGTAGTGCAAAGTGTGCAAAGTGACAAAATATAACTTACATTGTATAAGCTGCTAGCATCTGTCTTGAATCGGGAACCGTTACAAACTCACAGTTTCTCGTTATAGTCATGCGACTTGATGCGCTGAATCCAATTGAAGATTATATCGATTGAACCCCACGGAACAACGAAACACGAACATACTTTATTTATCTCAAACAAATTCAGTCATACTATAGTCTCGTATTATAATCGACAAATCCTGCCTATACGAATACAAGTATAGATTTTTTTGGCAGGTCTCATGCATGCATGGTCATTATGTTATTATATAAAGAAAGACATCAGCCATGAAATATTTGCGGAGGCGTAGTGTGCTTTGTTTGTGTTAGATCTGTGAATTGAAATACTGTATTTTAGAGTCTATAGTGGTCAGAATGATTTAGTTGGCACGTGTCAGAAAAATTTCAGCAGATCATGTTTGGTTTTTTTCCCGTTAACTTGCGTTTCGTGCTGGTGTGAACTGAGGACAAATTTACATCATTCAATTGCTAAGACTAAGTTCGTCAACTCTATTTCAGAACCATCCTCAGAGATACGAAAAACTAGTTTCATATTAAGTTCGTCAACGGCCCATGCCGCGAAGTTTCAATGGACAATGAATATATCAATGTTGCTTGCAAACTGTGTCAGGCCGAATTTTTCCCGAAACTCAAAAGTCAAAACACTATTTAAAAATTGTGTCAATTCGTAACTGCGAGTAATGTCAGGAACTTGTTATCATGATGCGCATGAAAATGCGCTGTTTGTTTTGCCAGCTTATAAGTAAAGAACTACAAATACAAATACAAATATACTAATTTTTCAAACAACTGCATTATCTTGTCAAATTTTCTCAGCTATAGCCTGGCTATAGTATTGAAGAATATGCCAAAATTTGATTTCTTTTACCTGGTCAAGAAGTCTAATTAACTACAACTGCATGGTTACAACTGCATGGTTATGTGAGCATTTTTTTCTTCAAACACATAAAAAGTCGTGGAGATTAGAGTTTTGAGTAAGTTCTAGAAAATGTTATACAGCTATTTTATGTGATAAAATATTAAAGTCAATGTTTATGAATTTTGTGCATGCATGCATACCCGGCTGTCACAATGTTACCTGCCAATACTGTCACCCGGTGTATATATATATATATGTATATATATATATATATATATATATATATATATATATATATATATATATATATATATATATATATATATATATATATATATATATATATATATATATTATATATATATATAT